AGATAGATAGATAGATAGATAGATAGATAGATAGATAGATAGATAGATAGATAGATAGATAGATAGATAGATAGATAGATAGATAGAATGCTTTGCTCGTAGATAATATGCTGCAAGGGAAAAAGGCAGCACAGAATGCTGTGTGTGAATTAAATGGTGTGAATAAAGTAATTGTCCTATGAAAGGCATATAGATGTTAATGTACCATGTTTTTTCTGTGCATTGGTTTCCATGGACGTTCAGCACCTGCGTTTCTTTTCTGCATTTGTGAAAGGTTGTTTACCTCATTTGTAAAGGACTGATTAGTAGGCATTACTGATTATGTCTTTCTTCTACCTCCACTTCAAATGGCAGTGAAAGAGACTAATTAGATAGAGTTTCATATTAACAGTTTTTTCTGTGTGTCTGCATGTGTGATTGTGTCACACTCAGGTTTCTGAACTCAAGGATTTGCCTGCAAGGCCACTTGTTTCATCCACATTGTCTGTACCCTTTTACATGTGTGGATATTTCTGAACACGCACATTTCCTCTTTTGATATTCCACTTCGTGAATCCAGCAGGTTTCCATGGGAACTATGCGATCAGTGACATTGTACGATTTTATCCATAATACTCGGGTGGAGGGAAAAAGCCACTTTGCCATGAGTGGTCCGTGGTCCCACTTCAGCTGTGAGTGATTTGTTTGAGTGCTAAAGAAGGGTGGGCGGCTGGTTCCTGACATCCTTGGATTCTGGAAGAAGCTGTGATGGGTTTTCTGATTTTGTCTTGTTAAGAGCGATGCTAGACAGATTTCTATTCCTAAGCTTTTATCTAACGTAAGGGAAATTTCTGATGTAAAGACACTAAAGTGTAATAACCAATATCCCCTGTTAGTAATGTTAGGGAGGTGGAGAAAACTTCCCAAAACAATTAACTATTCAAACAAAGAAGTGTATATGGGTAGGAAACAGATGGAAAATTGCATACAGGGCTTTTAAATTACCTTTATTATATATGAAGGTTTTTGACCCCTCCGTTAAAGGCTGTTTTTTTCTTTCTTAACATAGATGGCTTCCTTTACGCCCGTCTCAAACCACATGTCTTCTTTGTCCAATATGTGAACATTTTGTTTCTCAAAAGCATTTCCTTTGTCCATAGATGTATGGACATTATGGACATTCAATTTGCATGTTTTCTAAGCCAAAAAAATACTTTTTTTTTATTGGCCCACTTTATAAAGCCTCAAACTCAGCACTCATTCTAACATTTTAAATTGAATTGAAAATACTTCCTGGATGGAAGCGAAACATCTTCAAACTTGGAAACAAAGTCCAGTGGATTGTTTTTGTCAGTCCAGTATAAAATACCAGTAAAATTTGTGTAAATTAGTAAAATGTGAAGGTTTCCAAAGTAAGGCTCTTATTTTTTATTGCAAACAGGGTTAGAATCCGAGGCAAATACAGCCTTTGCCTCAATGCCTTCAGTAGATGTCCCAGTGCATGGCAGTGCACTCTCTGCCTGCATGTTTAAACATTTACTAAAAGGCTAAACCACAGAAAAAAAAAAACATTTTTATGCATGCTTAATCTGATACTTTCACAAAAATACTGAGCGCCGTTGATTCGGCACTGATTTAGTAGTAATTTGTTTAATGTAATGCTGCTCCATTAGGTAATGGACACACCTGTACATAAAAAGACACCAACCTCCAAATCCTCCTGCTGTAGAGCTTTGCGACCAGAAGGCCTATGACCTACATAGGGACATGTGTGGGTTGCACTCCACTTTTCTGCTTGACAATGCATCATTAACCCACTTCTGGCTGTTCAGAGCTGAGATCCCATATCACCTGAGCTCCCTCGTTGAGTGTGAGTCAAGGTGTTTAAAAAAAAGAAAAGGATTGAAAGACACAGCACTGACTATCATCTGATAATTCAGCTATTTCTCTCCTGGCTTTCCTTGTATAACCACAGACACTAGTTCAGAGCGAACAACGTCTCTCTGTACCAGAGTAGTTTCCAGGGGGACTAAAGTACACCGTTTTAGCCACAGTGTTGCTTCAGCCTCCAACACACACTCTCCTTTCTGCTTTCATACTCCCATCTCTCTCTCTTTCTTAAATTCCCTCTTCCCACAGCTTTTCCCTTCTCTCTTTCTTCCCCACACGCAGATGCAGATGCTGTCTCTCTCACACACCTTCTCCTCCTCTGCTGGTATCCACCAGCAACTGCACGAAGCAGGCAGCCCATGGATCCCATCACTTGACTAATTAGCCTGGAAGTGCTGCTGAAGATCCTCATATTTCGCCTGCCGACCCAGCAGCAGAGCGCAGACAGATATAGAGCAGCAGTCTGGCTGCAGGCTGAGTGCCTGGCATTGGGCAGGCTCTCTATCTCTCTCTATTCACACTTAGCACTGAAAGGCTTATAAGTGGCAGAGCGGCGGAAGTGAGGGGCGGCAATGCTTTGAAAGAGAAGAAAAAGAGGAGAAAGAGAGAGATCGGAGCTGAGACCACGAAAAGACCACAGGATGCGACTTCGCTGCAGGAGCAAATCCCCTTAGACTTCCAAGGCAGCTGCAACAACTGCTTCCGACACACACAGAAAGATAAGGTGAGACTTTTCCAAACAGCAACTGTGTGTGAGTGTGTGTTCAGTGTGCAGGAGAGAAAGGTAAAGAGAGGAGGAGTGAAAGACGTCCTCCTACAGATGGTATTCCTGCTGTGCCACTCCTAAGGTTCAACAATGTGGGTCACAGGGATGCTCAACTGCACACACACGCACGCATATGAACTAAAAAAAAAAAGACTAACTCCTTACTGTTCTAATATCTAAATCTGGATGCTGACAAAACAGCTTCTTCAACAGTGAAAGAAGTGGGATCAAACCTGAATGTGCGCCTGGATGTTTGTGTGAACCACTGCATGTGTGCCAGTGAGGTTTTTTAGTCTTTTTGTTGCCGTGGTGCCAGTGAAAGGCTTAAAGATGCACATAATAGTGCACAGCATGAAAAAATCAGCCATGGCAGGCTTTTTGCTTGGTTGCATCAAACAGCTTCAGAAGAGCAACACATAAAGGACATATCCAAATACTGTATGTACAGCATAGCGCCTGTCTGGGTGTGTGTATGCATAGATAGGTTCTTTTTATCTTCTGACATGAATATTACAACGTGCTCTCTGTGGATTGTGGATGTTTTGAAACATGCTTTTCGTTGAAATCACCTCATGCTTTTTAAACAGGAACTCAAAAATCAAACCTGTCATATATATGCAGGGATGCTGTTGCAGTGTATAGTGCTTTGAATTTTTTATATTTCGTGCAAATATATTATTTGAAAGATGCACTGATCAGAGTATTGTGGACAATTTCAGAACTGTAGTTTTAGAGAACTTAGCTATGATTATAGCTAATATTCTCTTTGTGACAGGTCATTAATTATTTATATTCAAAGTTCGACTGTAAAAACAAAAACTAAATGGGTGTTATCAGTCCTAACTGGATTCAGTGATCTCTCTGTTTATTTGCTACGGAATGCAACCCCTTGCCAAAAGCGTGTCTAAATCCAGGGGGCTTCATAGAGGAAACAGCAAAGTTGCTGTGAAATGTTCAGCCTTCTTGTAATATGCTTAAATTGACTCGGGGTTGATTCAGCCATTTGCTGGTTCATAAAAGTATTCCCAAGGCTGGTATTAACGGACATCTTGCAACAAAATGAGTACATTTCGTGCCCCAAAGCAAGGACTATAAAACGGCTAGGGCGAAATGGCGAAGGACTGAAATGACCAGTAACCCTCAAAGTCTCCCCTACAGTAGCTTTAACAGAAAGCAGAAAACACAGTTTCATTTTTAAAGGCTTTATTTTTTTTAACTTCTTGCAGATATGAAACTCTGAGTTTTTAACCTTCAGTAACCACTTCCACACCAAAAAGTGGTTGCACTTTTTGTGCTAAAAAAAACCCCGTTACCATTCCTTATCTTGCAATTTCCAGGAATTGTTGCAAATTTTTGAATGAATAATATCCCAAAAGTACAGCTGGCCAGGAGCCAATAGATGCTTTAGCCATGGATACAGAAATGTTTTGAACTAATGAAATTCAACGACGTGTATGATGTTAACCTGAGGCACTAGGCTGAAGCAAAACAAATATGGCTGCACCAGTGGACATACAGTACCTTTAGACTCCAGTATTCAGTCTGTTTTAGGGTGGAAACGCCTATTACTTTTTTTGCAACCCCAGCAAAAGGATGCGATTTGTGCCCTTATGGATGTGAAGATGCTTGATAGTTCCTGCTGACCCCATTTGAGCTGAGCATAGAGCTTAATTCATAGGTTACCACCACTAGTAGTGAAACAAATCAAGAAGGTGATACATCACAACTGCTACTGCTGCTGTGATTGGCAAAAAGCTTGACATGGGAGGTAGGTGTCCCTTGGTGGTTTACCCATTCAGCTCAAAGAATTGTTTTGAATTGTACCTTCTTTTCGTGAACACTTTCCACAGGAGCCTTTCCAGACAGAATACGACATAAATCTTTTCCTACTAACCATCGTCATTTATAATGTTGCCATATCAATTTAATTAGTTTTGAAATAGTGAGTTTTTAGAGTTTAGTGATTCTTCAATTGGTATATATGTCAGTGTAAATACACACACATATATATATATATATATATATATATATATATATATATATATATATATACCAATTGTGGTGTTGAGCTTAAAAGTTAGGGTTGATGTATTTTTCATTTTAAACAATACATTTTTAATTTTTGAAACATATTTCTATGTTAATTGAAAAGCCTGTTGAGGTTTCATTAATACAAAGCATCTTTTTTTTTTTTTTTTTTATTTACCAGCTTCGAAATGAGTGGAGATATTGATCAAGTGTCTTTTTTTCTCTTTACAGTTTTTCATTTTTAATTCCTGCTTTATCAAAGCATGCTTTATCAATAATTGACTGTTTGGTTCTACATTTATTATCATTCTTCTGATAAATTCCCTGCCTGTTCGTAAAGGGCTGAAGGACTCGCCCTTTTATCTATTATTCCACATTACTCATTCAGGGCCAAAATACAGGCATGAATGCAGTCCAGTTTTCTGAAGTGGAGCGCTCCACTTTAGCCGTAACAATCACTGATTGAGGAAAGGCCTGACGAGGCGGCGTAAAGTTGGGGAGATAATTGTTTCCAAGGAGATGAGGGAATAAGCGTGATAGCTGCAGAGAAAAAAACAGCTGGTCCTAAGATGAATAAATTACATATGGAGGGCTGATGTTTTTTTTCCATTTATCAGCGATAACAGAAGATTAGAGAGTTCACAACTCCCAACAAAACGCTTTCAAGGGCGAAAGATCTTTTGAGGTTTCTCTGCATTTAAGGAGCAGAGGACTGGCATTATTTAACGTGATCATTTGCATGTCAGAAACCCCAAAGCATCTCATGAGTTCTTACACTCACAGTCTTCTTGTGTTGTGTAGCTTGTCTGTCTTCTACCTGTTATCCAACTATCACAATTACTTCCCCTTGCTGAATCGGCTTGGTTTTTACCTCATTCTCTACTCTCCTAACTCCTAATGTCTGCATCATGACTTTGTCTCTTTGTTATCTCTTTATGTCAGGCCTTTGTTTTTGATCATCACTCCTCTGTTTCCACTCTAGTTCTCCTCCTTTCAGCCCCATTTTCCTCTCTTCCATCCTCCCATTGCCTCCTTGTTAGGTTTGTGTATTTGCCTCTGTATACCTGGGTTTGTGTTTGTGTTTTTTTATGTATCATGCAAGATGTACCTTTGTGTGCATCTACAAGCGTGTGTTTTTGTGTGTGAGTGAAGGACTGTATTTGTACGTTTTCATAGAAAAGAGGCTTTTTTTAAAAATTCTTTTGGTATTGAAAAGATTCCCCCTGTAACTCAGAGAGTATTATGTGCAGAAATAGAGGTCGCATAGGGTATCAGAAATCTCAATTTATGAGTGCACGGTTGACACAATATTCAAAGCTCAAAGCGTCCTCATTAGAGTTTGAGGTCTTTGAATTTTCACACACTTCCTGCTTCTTTGGTTCATTTAAAAAAGGGCTATTTCTTTTTAACTGCTGACGTTTCTGTAAATGTTAGAGAAAATCAACCTTTATCTGATGAACTGGATGCAACATAGTTTTGATTGAGCCACTGTTTAATTGTTGCCTTAATTTAATAAATATTTGAACATTTTAAATATGGGGGGAAGCATCAAAAGAACATTATGATTTGGATATAAAATTAGTCAATGTAAAGTCAATGACTTGATTAATTTGGTAGAGTTTCCTTACTGAATATAGAAAACCTTTAACCAATCTGAATTGTCTTTGTTTGATCCTTTGAGATGACTTGTGTTGTTATTTGGCGCTATACATATAAACTGAATTGAAGTATTCAATTAAATTAAGTACTTTTAATAAAATTAAGACAGTAGTATAATTATAAAATTAGTTTGACGGATGAGGATAAGGAGAAAGTTTGATCTAAACCCAAACTCAGGACTATGATGAAAGCGTTTATCACCATGTAGCCTTTAAACTAATAGGAAAACTGCATCAGCCACCCTACGATTGCAGCACTAAAACGTTTTTAAGACAGATATTGTTCACTTTGAAGGCCTGATCCTGTGTAACTGCTTATGTTTCTGTAAATTGTAGAGAAAGTCAACCTTTATTTGAACTAACCGAGCTCACATGAATGTGTAAAAAGATGCTTAGTAACATTAAAATACCAACCCATTTGCCAAGTTTATAGTTTCTCTGCAAAAAACTTGACATTTATTTCTTAGCGGCTCTGCATTCTGTTCATTCTACTGACTGTGTTTTAATGTTCCTCATCCTAATTCCTGCATTGTTGGGCTTGTTCTTCTCTGTTGGATTCTGCTGTTCCTGTTGCACTTGTTCCTTCGTGGTTCCCACCATTTCTGTAGGTTTTCAGGTTAATAAAGTCTCTAGCAGCCATTCAAAATGTCCCTTCCCAGTCAAATGCCAGCTGAATGGCAGCCTGCTCCCCTGCGACTCCCAGCCAAATCCCCTCCAACTTCCAGCCACTGACTCTCTCCTGGGCATGCATTTTTTTACTGCGACTCCACTCTTTCACTTAATTGCAGGGTCTGATCAGGAGATGAAGCTTCTCTTTAGATCTTAATGTACAAAAATCATGACAGAAACAATGTTTTAGTAAAAAGATTGATGTATAAAAAGGAATTGTAGAGACCAGTCAAGGACCAGCCAAGGGCCCATCTTGAATGGGCATTTTGAATGGCTACCACTGTATATGCCTTGGTCCTGTTGGCAACTCGCATTCATGAAAAAAACCCTTCATTGTCCAGCTTTCTGAAGGAGTAACTGAACTCCTACTTTGCATATAAACTCTAAATTGGGTCCTAAAGGTGCTTTCTTGATGTTGCTGCATTAATTTTGACATCTCTACTGTATGTCAAAATTTTTAATTACAAACAATACCACTTGATACACGGCAACGTCAAACATCCACGTTTTGGTATAATGGTGTTTGATTTAATGTTGAACTTGGAACTGGGAAGTCGGATTGACATATGCCCCATTTACGTTATCCCTCTGAAACCGATCCAGTTCTAACGGAGCTTGGATCAGTTAACCATGCCAAGCATAGTCCTTACTACCTTATACACATATTACTCAAATTTTCACGGCTCCTTGCCTCGTATCAGCGGCCCATGATACTACAGCTCTGAAGGCGGGAATTATGCAAGCCAAAAAAAATGGCGGCGCCCATACCATTCAGGAACTTATGTGCCTAAATAGCAACCTCCTCACAAGTTTCAATGACAGCTTAAGTCTCGGTGTGATCCCAGATAGCGCCATGCTCTTTTCATGACATTTATTGTTAATAGGCTGAGAAGAATTGTGTGTTGCGAGCAGGTGAAGAGATCTGTTAATTGCAAAGCCGGACATGCCGGAAAACCCGCAAAATGAAACAGCTGACAGCTGTAAATATGAGATCACGATCTACTAATGCACTCTTTGTTATCAGAGAACTAAGCCAAAACTAAACTGTACCAAGCCCTACTGTTTAACTAATACACTGCTCAAAACATTAAAGGAACACTTTAAAAACGCATCAGATCTCAATGGGGGAAAAAAAAATCGTTTATTTGTACTGATATGGACTGGGTGATGTGTTAGGAACAAAAGGTTGCCACATCATTTGCGGCACGCTAGTCTATTTAGCTGAAATTTCATTGCAGCAACTCAAAATGGTATTCAGTCATTTGTATGGCCCCCATGTTCGTGTATGCATGCCTGACAACGTAGGGGCATGCTCGTAATGAGACGACAGATGGCGTCCTGGGGTATCTCCTCCCAGATCTGGACCAGGGCATCACTGAGCTCCTGGACAGTCTGAGGTGCAACCTGGTAGCATTGGATGGATCAAAACATAATGTCCCAGAGGTGTTCTATTAGATTTAGGTCAGGAGCGAGTGGGGGTCAATCAATGGTATCAATTCCTTTATCCTCCAGGAACTGCCTGCATACTCTCGCTACCAGGAGGAACCCAGGACCCACTGCACCAGCATAGGGTCTGATAATAGGTGCAAGGATTTCATCCCAATACCTAATGGCAGTCAGGGTGCCGTTGTCTAGCCTGTATAGGTCTGTGCTTCCCTCCTTGGACATGCCTCCGCAGACCATCACTGACCCACCACCAAAGCGGTCATGCTGAACGATGTTACAGGCAGCATAATGTTCTCCACGGCTTCTCCAGACCCTTTCACGTCTGTCACATGTGCTCAGGGTGAACCTGCTCTCATCAGTAAAAAGCACAGGGTGCCAGTGGCAGACTTGCCAATACCAGTGTTCTGTGGCAAATGCCAATCGAGCTCCACGGTGTTGGGCAGTGAGCACAGGGCCCACTAGAGGACTTCAGGCCCTCAGGTCATCCTTGTGAAGTCTGTTTCTGATTGTTTGGTCAGAGACATTCACACCAGTTACCTGCTGGAGGTCATTTTGCATGTTAACGATTCACTCTTGCTTTCTAAGTATGTATCAAAAAAAGTCAAAGTACTGTTATTGCATATCTGTGAAGTTTCTCAGTCATCCAGTTCATGGTCGAGGTTTAAAAGTTCAGCCTAGGCAACTGGACGTGAAGTTTTCTAGAAGACATATTGCCTCTCATCCAAGAGGATTCCTTAGTTCTAACTAGTGATGGGGAGCTTTGAGATTAATATAGTTTAGGTCTAACTAAAAATGATGGGAACCAAATGGTGACTCTGATCCCTCCTACTGGATTGGCCAAGAAAGTCACCTGGGGTGTTAATGATCATTAGGAGGTTCTGATGGGTCGGTACTGCCCTCATCAGAGTGATTTCTGTAATATGCCTCATTCAGTTTATTTCACCCTTGTCTAGAGTTAGGAGACAACCGCTCTCCGTCATCTCACTCCCAACTCCCCACATAACTCCAGGAGAGAGACAGGTCCAAGGTTTCTTTTATTTGGCTGAGAAAAAAAAAAGGCACAGTCTAATATCTGATCTCACACCAGGTTGAAGTGCACAGGGATATGGTGCTGATTGAAAAGCCTACTGAGTTTTTCAGAGACTTCAGCAACCTATGGACATATGGCAGTGCTACCCACTGCTCGTTAGACCTGAGGAAGCCTTTTGGATGAGGGGTGAAACCTCTTCTAGCTCCCTGTTCTTTTGCCTTAAGTGAACTTTTCAAGCGCTGCTCCGATGTTAACTAGTCTCTTATTCGTGTATTTTGTTGATTCATTTATTGTTCTTTATTGTTGTTTGTAAAAAAAAAAAATTCTGAAATAAATTCCTATTCATTCATTCATTCATTCATTCATTCATTCATTCATTCATTCATTCATTCATTCAGTTAGTCATTCACTCATACTTTTGTAGTATGGTTTAACTAGTTTGAATGATCTAAACCCTGGGTGTAAACCAGGGTTTCATAAAAGAGAAAAAATAATTATTGTTTAAGACAATCCTACTTATTGTTAGGATTGTTTTAAACATATCAGATCTGAACAGTTTTATCTTGCTTTACTTAAAACGCATCTCTTTAAAGGACAAGTGGCTATAGACACTTGGATTGTAGGAAATCTGTCTTATTTAACTGAGGCTTTAGATAAAACAATACGACATCCAACAGGCGAGTTATTGAAACCTCAAATCAAATCAGCCAAAGAAGTGTGCCCCTTCCTCTGTCTTGTGATTGAAGTCTGACTGTATCGGTATCCAGGGCCTTTCTTTACTCAATAATTTTATGCCTTGGTTATCCATTGTCTATTGGTAAATAAACTGAATTATTTGCAGCTTTGTTTATGCTGTCACCAAATAATTGGAAACTTAAATGTTTTCCATTCAGCGAAACCTGTGTAAGTGTCCCTGACTCAATACTCTTCAGGAACATATTAAAAGGCTGCTGTCTTTTTGTGCAGGTGAACAAACTTCCACCTGAGCGCCTGGGTTCTGGATCACATTGGAAGAATAGAAGTCTTTTTAATGAAACACGGCCGATTATTACAGCCGAAATCTGTTTCCATCTTAATCAGCCCAGAGTTTATTTGTATTTTCAGCTCTTAAAATAAGAAAAAAATAAAATGATTCATACAATTTTAGCAGTGATTTTCTTCTATTTTGATGTACAAAAGAAACATAATGCTATAACACATACAATAGAAATACTAAAAGAAAAAAAAAAATTCTGGTTCTTTTATTTTACTTTTGTTGTGAAAATTCAATTCTAATATCTTTATAAAACGGCTGAAGCTGCAAAGACTAGTATTTGTTATTATAAAACATCAGTTAGTTTTCTATATAATTTTTAGCCTGTATTAAGAGCCATTGTAGAGGCTCCAAAGAGCCACGTGTGGCTCTGGAGGTGCAGGTTGCAGACCCCTGCTTTAATGCAACAAAACCTCTATTACACCTATGGATCAATGCTGCAGGAAGTGGTCACAAGCTAATTGAAAGAAGTAACAGATTAAGGGGAATGCTCGAAGCAACAAATGACCTGCCCCTTGGCTGTTTAATGTCCAATTTGGGAGAAAATATATGCAGTTAGCTTCATCAGAACATAAGAAAAAAACATGGAACAAATGATCCCACCAGCAATCAAGCCTGATCAATTCCCTCCATCCATCCGTTTGTCCAACCGTCCGTCCATCCGTCCGTCCGTCCGTCCATCCATCCATCCATCCATCCATCCATCCGCCTAGTGACATCAACCAGCTGCATATCCGCCAGGATTGCAGGAGAGAAATAGATGAATTGGTAATTTTTGTGTGTTGACTACCTTTGTGTTGTACTTATTCCATCCAAGGTTTTTCAAAGGGTCCAAAATTTGTTATTTTTAAAGCTAGCAGCTACATTGGTATATAGCTTTCTTTATGCTCAGAATGTTACATTTTTTACAAACAGGAATGCATTTGATAGACAAAAGCCTTACAGTGTGCTGTAACTCCCACAGATGATGGACAGTCAGCGACCATCTCAGGGGAGGCCCATGAGGAACCTTCCTGCAGACAGAGGCCAGCTGAAAACCAGCACTTACATTGTGCCCTGCTTCCTCTTTGTGGAGGTGAGTTTGAAATATTCTCCAGAGTGATTTTAAGGAAATTGTCAAGTAAAAAACCGCTTGCTACATTGGTAGTTACAGAAGCATCTGGGAAGTTTAAATCCAATAAAAGACGCTAATGGGCATTAAAAAGAAAAAAATTCCATCATAAAATGATTCTCTTATTTCCCTTGCATCTCTATTTTGCATCCTTTCATGTGTTTTTCATGGCAGATTAACATGAACGCCTGTCAGCTGCAGAAACCGCGTCAGATGGCAGGCTTTGTTTTCAGTTCACTGACTCCCAAAAGGAGTGATTGATTTGGATGAATTACCACAAATGGGTAATTATCCTCAGCCCTTGAATCACTAAGTGATAACATTTAAACGGATTGTGAGGGTATCTATCAAGGAAGTCCTCCTGAATGCTTTCTTTCCTCATAAACTCCTGCTACTCTCTCTCTGTCTCTTCCCACAACTCTTAATTTCTCTGTGTAATCCCTAAATGACCTGGCGAAGCCCTCGTGGTCATTGCTTATATTTCCAAATTAATTGGCCTAATTAAGAAGGGAAACCCAATTTGGCCATCCCACTTTTAGCATGCTGTAAGTCATCTGAACCACAGCTGTGATGGAAGGATGAGTTCAATTAGCCTTTTGCTTTTTTTTTTTTTTTTATTCTATAATAGCTAATGCAATTAAAACATGTCTCCGCATAAATCGCTTTGCAAATGTCATCATCTCTGTAAAGGATTTTTATAAATCTTATGTTACCGACACAATCTTTAATTTTATTGGTATTTTAGAGATTATCAAAAAGCGGTGAATATTTTTGAAGCATGAAGCCCAGATTTAGTAAAGATTTTGAAGATGTAAGAGTGTACAAACCTAAATCGGCTTAGAGCTCTTCTGCTCCACTGTATTAATTTCCTAGACAGAGCCAACGATGCAGCTAGTTTACTATTACCTTCTCCAAAATAGAAAGTCCTTCTAGATCAGTACCTCTCTGCTCCTTTTGTGTTTATCTGCAACCCCCAGTCTTCCTTGTTGAAGTCTGACACAAATTAAAGGCTTGTTATTTCGGATCTTAGTATTTGCATTGGCAAAAACATTTATCTGGGTGTTATCTGCTTAGAGCTCCTACTTTTATTTATTTGCTGTGTCCTGTTTATGGCTTTTGGCAAACTGCAGAAGTAGCTCTGAGATAGTTTTCTGTCTGTCATGCCCTTTTGATTAAGAGATGTTGAATTGAACAGACTGCAAAATGTTCAAAGCTTAAGGACCTTTTTTATTTAACATAATTCTTTTGAGGCAAGGCAAGGCAAATTTATTTGTATAGCACAATTCAGTACAAAGACAATGCAAAGTGCTTTACATGATTAAAATATAGGAAAATAAAACAGAATCAAAGCAAGTAGGAAAAAAATGAAATAAAAATGCAGAAACAAAAAAGAATATTAAAAACAGTTGGACTAAAGAAAATAAAAAAGTTGAACTAATGATGTTTCAGTTGAACTGTTTAACTAGAACAGTGGAAGGCAATCCTAAACAAATGTGTTTTTAGTCTTGATTTAAAGGAACTCAGGCTTTCTGCACATTTACAGTTTTCTGGAAGTTTGTTCCAGATAAGTGGAGCATAGGAACTAAATGCTGCTTCTCCATGTTTAGTTCTGGTTCTAGGTATGCAGAGCAGGCTGGAGCCAGAAGACCTGAGTGGTCTGGAGGGTTGATACACTGATAGCAAGTCTGTGATGTATTTAGGTGCTAAGCCATTCAGAGATTTATAGACTAACAGAAGTATTTTAAAGTCTATTCTCTGAGATACAGGGAGCCAGTGAAAGGACTTTAGAACTGGGGTGATATGCTCTACTTTCTTAGTCTTAGTGAGGACACGGGCAGCAGCGTTCTGGATCAGCTGCAGCTGTCTGATCCATTTTTTAGGCAGACCTGTGGAAACACTGTTGCAGTAATCAATTCGACTAAAAATAAACGCATGGATTAGTTTTTCCAGATCATGCTGAGACATTAGTCCTTTAATCCTGGAAATGTTCTTCAGGTGATAGAAAGCCGACCTTGTAATTGTCTTTAAATGTTTTTGGAGGTTCAAGTCTGGTCACTGCAATTTGTGTTCTTTGGCTTTCATGATGCTCTCTAGTCACTGATGTTCTCCAGGAAAACATATGAGGCCTTAAGAGAAAATCCACGATGGCTTCTGAAGGCTGTTGGCTTTACGGGATTTTGTTTTGGGATGTTAGAATAAAAAACTTGTCTTATTTATATTACCATTTTCCCTTTAATTTAATAATTGTTCAATTTTTTTTTAAATGGACCATCATGCAAGATCTGATTACAATACATTGGCGGTTGTAGCTGTAGAGAGGGGTATGAGTGTAAAGCTGAAAAACTTGAACTCTTATATATCTCAGGTTGTGTGGAGGTTTATAGAGAACCCAAATGCAGAGATGGGAGCTGAGGGGGTTTCTTGCAGATCTAATAATAGTGGCAACAGAAGCATATATCTAAAAATAACTGATCAAGGAACACAGGACCCAGAAGACAGGGGGACACATAGGTTAAGGAGGGAATGAAGAAATGAAGTCAACAGCAACTACAGAGGAGGAATATAAATGCCAAACAGAACAAAGAATGGAGTAATCAACTGATTGGGAGCAGGTGTGGACAGAAGGACCTAGAAGGGAGCTAGGGGGATAGAGACTGACACAAGGGGGCAATAAGGAGTAAACAAGAAATACATAAGAACTCAAATACAACCAAACAACAACTAGAATGATACAGAATGAAAATTAAACCAGTTACTTAGAAACTACAGAAAGACATTAAACAAATTGTAACTAAAAATTTAAAAAGATAACTTAATAGAAACAAAAAGCCCAGAAAAGGCAGAATAATGACTACATACGATAAACAATCCTGGACGATAGAAAAAGAGAAGATTGGTGAGAAACGTTTATGATAGAAGCCCAAACTTTAGACCTTGTTTTTTATTGTTTTTGTTAGATCTGAGTTCTGCTCCTCTTTAAAGAGTTCCTTGGAAGAACCTCTTTCAACCCTTTTCTTCTTTCTGTTTGTGTTCATTCATGGTCTCCTCTTGAGATCCTCCTTTTGGTTTTAAACAGTTCAGCCCAAACCATTAATGTTATGTTTCTTCCTACATGAAACCACTCAGTAAATTTTATCTCATATTTTACAATTACTCAGAGCTTTGCATACATTTGCTCCTCCCCTCCTACGGTATTCTCTTTGATGCTCTGGACTCGTTCCTGACATCACTTTTTTTTAAACACTCATTCACTTGAGTAATTACATCATTTGCACCAAATCTCCCCATTTTATCCCTTTTACATAAAATCTCATCACTCCCTCCACCCACTCGTGCCTGTCTGCAGTCATCACCTCTTCTTTCTCCTCAGTGCTTCTGTCCTTCATACCCCCCCTCCCCTTTTTTCTAATGTTTCTGATAGTTCTGTCCTCAGCTTCATTTTCTTGTGATACATTTTTTTCCCCTGCTCTTGACCCCGTCCTTCTGCTCACCCAACCTTGAGGTCAAGGCAAACCCAGGTGGGGAATTTCTTCTCATTTTGTCATCCTTCTGCACCCTCCAGGAGGCATCTGCTCTTGTTTGGGTTTGTTCAGACGCAGCCAGAGGTGGGATGATGTGAATCTGGCTTGACTGTAATGACTGCATATGAACAATCCTGGAACTGCACGCATTGCGGTGGTTTAATAAAGGGCGTTTTAAAATAAAAATTTCCCCTCTTCATTGGTTTTCATACAGAGGCTCCTTGCTGTTGCATAGCTCCCCCCGGAGGGCAATCTATCCTTTGTTGTTACATTAGCATGTGATTATCTATGTCTTTTCTATTCAAATGCCCCATGTGATTCTCGTTCCTCTCCTACGATCTGAAGCTGATTCTTTTTCTCCTTTCCTCTTTATCAATACAATCTGGCTGCTCACACTGTATCCTTCTTTATCTCTTTATCTGCTTGATAATAGTTTTCCTCAGTGTAACCTAAAGCCATTTCATCGGTTCTTTTATCTGAGGTCTAGTCTGTAGGATCTGACACTGATCATCCCTTTTCTCCGCTGTCCCTGACTGTCTGCATTATCTCTTTGATCAAAATGTGATTTTTTTTTTTTTGCTCATTTAGGAGTGTAAGCCTTAGCTTTACATATTAAACAAAAAAGCCATATGGGGAGCTGATAAATGCTCAGCTAACCTCCACCATTGATGTTCCTGCCAATTTTGAAAAGCCACACAAGTGGTTGGCCACGGCCTCACGGCTGCACTGTTTCAGTAGACCCTCTTTAGAAAGGCATTTTGATATGACAGCTTCCTGACAGAGCTGAGTAGGAGGAGGTTTGCTCAGACGTTGCTGCGATCTGGGTCAGACGGACCAGCTGTGAAAATCTGCTCCACAGTCGGCACATGCAGTACATTGCTAAAGTATTCACACCCCTGGAGCTTTAACACATTTTTTTTTTACAAACACCAAGCATTAAATACCTACGGAGGGGATTTATTTTTGCTTTTTGTGATTTCAAAAATGTATTCCAAAAAAAAGGACATAAAAAAATCTTGGGGTAAAAATTATTGGTATATCTGTTGGAAAAGGTTTCTACCTCAGTCAAAAGTCTTTGTCTCCACTTACAGGCTTTCTTCCAGTTTTTTTTATTTATCTTTTTCTAGTTTTCAGTTTTTTTAATCTTTAGTATGACTTTGCCAACGCTATGATGACATGGAGGGCAATCTGTTACTTTGTTGACATATCTAGCATTGTTAAAGGGATATTGTGTAATAATTTCTGCCTGAAATCACTGACTGCTTTTACATATGTGTCCATCCATCCTTTTTCCGTCACGCTTATCCCTGCTGGGGTAGTGAGAGGTGCTGGTGCCTATCTCCAGCTGTCAATGGCCGAGAGGCGGGGTACACCCTGGACAGGTCGCCGGTCTATGTGTCATTATGGGTTATTATTACCTCCACCAATATTCAGATACTGTTT